CCACGTGCGCGTCCTCGGCCTCTACCCCGGCCCGACCTCTGACGGCTCCAGTACGGGGCGCGGGTGCCTGATCATCTCGAGTAGCATGTGTCCTCACCATCTGTGAGAGAATACAAGACAGAGGTTTAGAATTGTGATATCAAAAATCTCGCACGACAAGGAAATCAAATGAAGTGGAACTTTCCAAACAGTTACATAGCCTCTCGTACATAAGTACAGGCGTCTCCGTACCGATCCCTGAGGCTCTAATAAACCGGCTTGTGATTCATGACTCCTATGAACCTAGAGCTTTGATACCAACTTGTCACGATCCCAGTTTGCCCTCCGTGAACTGTCGTGACGGCACCAAGTGTCTACGACTAGGTAAGCCTAACTAATGGGGAAAAAGAAATAATTGCAGAAGAAAGTAATTAAAAACCAAGATAACAAGNATTCTTTCTTTCACCCCCTTCCTTTGGTTTCTCCACTACCCTAATAATTTAAACAAAAACCAACGTAACGTTTCGGCAGAAGCAGCAGTGATTTCTACTGTAAGGTGAAAATTGAAGGCCATGGCCATGGAAGCCATCAGAGGACGTTGGGCAGATTTAGGGGTTGTGAATACTATCTATGAAGATGATGTTGAAGATTCCTCCACTTCCCTTTCTGTCTCCCCAGAAATCTCCCCATCTCCTTCACCTCCCCGCTCTCGGGTTGTCTCCTGGTAAGAATTTAACTTATATACACTCATAATATGCAAGAATTGTTAAATAACTTACTACTATGATTTTTCAAGTTACTAATGTCACTTTTTATTGACGATTAGTTGTAATTATCATCCTCGGGGGTTGGAGGTGTATACAATTTACTGCTAAATTCCTACTCAGTTTACGTTCAAGGGCTATGATTTACTCTCTGATTTTTTTTTCTATAATTTTTTTTTCTTTGAAATTGTTATTTAAGGTCCCAAGTTACAGGAAATGACACTGATGTAGTTATACATGTTGAAGAGTCACTTTTTCGCCTACACAAGGTACTTTCATGCTCCAAATATATTCACTATTCACCTCTCTTCTTTTTCTTTTTCTTTTTCTTTTTCGTTTTCCCATGGGAAAGAGAATCAGAAAGGAGCTTTGTACGAAATCTGTGGTCTTTTTTTTTTTTTGGTTCCTCTTTTGTTTCTTCGCAATTTTTCTTTTTATTTTACTTGTTGATTTGATATGTGCTTCTTGTCTTTTGTTCTATATGTGTAGCTGCAAATTATAAAACGTTTTTCCTATCTTGAATTATGAATAACAGNATAAGTCTCGAATGGGAGTACCTGGATCTGCACATGAAAAACATGCACAGGAAGGGCATGAGTACACCACAGCGGTACTCAGTAAGTGCCAAGCCTAACCTCGGTCGGGTAGTGACGAGGAAGGTCAGGGCCCTATCGAGGTTAAAGGAAATACAAGATATAACAGTGTAGAATAAGACAGTATACTTAAGTGCAACAGTAAAAAAATAACACAGGATAGAAGAACAACAACGACTTTAACAGAAACAAAGTAATCACGAAAATAAATACAGCTCAATGCAGAGATAACAACCGGGGGATCTCCTAGGATACCGTCCTGTAGCCCCCAAATATAAATATCCAGTGGATCTCCCGGGTGCAGTCCCGTAGTCCAACTCATAATGTGCGGGGATCTACCGGAATACCACATCCGTAGTCTCAAATATAAATACTCAATACTGGGGGAATATACCGAGTGCAGTTTCGTAGTTCCAATATAAAAGTGCAGGGGGATCTCCCGGAATGCAATTCCATAGTCCCAAATCCGGGATACCATCCCGTAGTCCCAAAGTAAACACACAGCAACAACACAAAAGAATACTCAATTCGGTTCAAATTTCCATACCTAAATAAAACAGGTATTTCTAGCCTAGCATGCTGCACATAATCCAAATAAGGCATTGAGCAAGTAAGGCAATTAAGTCAACTAAACGTGCTTTCCTAAGCTAATAGCAGGCTTAAATTACACACGGTATGAACAGGAAACAGGAATCACATTTATAGTTACTTAAGTAAAATGGATTTTTAACAATTAGCACAAGTACGCACTCGTCACCTCACGTACAGAGTATTTCAATTATCAACAAACCAAATCCTAAGGGGAGTTTCCCCCACACAAGGTTAGACAAGCCACTTACCTCGAACCGACTCCAAAATCAACCCGAAACCACGTTCTTGCCACGAGTACTCGACTCCAAATTGCGCAAATCTATTCAATTCAATTGCATAATGTAAATAACACTTCAAATAACTGATTCTACAAATAAATTCTAAGCTAATACGCAAAATTAGGTAAAATTACCAAAATGCCCTCAAGGCCCACGTCTCGAAATTGGGTAAAATTTATATTTTCAAAATCCTCATACTCTCCAGGAGTCTAACCATATCAAAATTACCAAAATCGGACCTCAAATGGTCCCTCAAATCACCACTCAAAGCTCTCCACATAACCAAGCCCTAACCCCCAATTTACCACTGATTTTCCTTCAAATTTCATGCTAAAATTGATAAAAATCACCATAATAACGAGTTTTGGTTTCAAAAATCTTACCTCCTTGAAGCTCCCTTGAATCCTCTCTCAAAAACCTCCCAAAAGCTCAAAAATCCGGATGAAAATGGTGAAAGAATGGGCAAAAATCGCGACTGAACCTTTATATACATTTTGGCCCAGGACTTCCGCACCTACGGACATTTCCCCGCACCTGCGATCCCAGGTGCGCATCTGCAAGATTTCATTAATTCCCTTGGGCCGCACCTGCACTTCCTCTACCGCACCTGCTCACGCAGGTGCGCTCGAACTGCCGCACCTGCGGAAACTGGCCTTCCCTCACATGGCCGCATCTGCAGTTTCTCAGCCGCTTCTGCGGCGCCGCACTTGCGGTCCCACACACGCAGGTGCGGTTATGACAGGAAACACAGCTTCAGCTGCCAACTCCAAATACCTAACTCTCCGTCAACCATCCGAAATTATCTTGAGGCCCTCAGGACCTCAACCAAAGGCATGAACAAGTCATATACCACTATCCAATCTTATACCAATCCTTAAAACACCTAAAACAACATCGAATCATCGAATCATCATCGAATTCAAGCCTAAGAATTCTAAATACTTCCGAATTACGCTTTCGATCAAAAAGTCTATCAAACCTCGTCCGAATGACCTAAAATTTTGCACACACGTCATATTCAACACTGCGGAGCTACTCCGACTTCCGAAATTTCATTCCGACCCCGATATCAAAATCTCACAATCGAACCGGAACTTCAAAAATTTAATTTTCGGCATTTCAAGCCTAAATGAGCTATGGACCTCCAAAACACAATCTGAACATGCTCCTAAACCCGAAATCACCCAACGGAGTTAACGAAACCAACAGAATTCCATTCCGAGGCCGTTTTCACACTGCTCCGACTACGATCCAAATTCTAAAACTTAAACTCTCATTTAGGGACTAAGTGTCCCAAAACTCTCCGAATTTCCAAATAAATCTTCCCGACAACTCACAATAGCAGAAACAAACACGGGGAATGCAGTTAATAGGGGATCGAGGCGTTAATTCTTAAAACGACCGGCCGGGTCGTTACAGAGCTGTTGTGATGCTTTATTTTTTTACTATTGCTTAGGGTTTCTTCTTCTTCTTTTTCTTAATTGCAAAATGGGTTCATTAGATTTATTGTTGTTTTGACAAATTGATGATTGTGATTTGTTCCTGATGTTATTTGGAGGTTATGTTTCAAATTTGAGCTCATTTGGAGTAGATTTAAGTATTAAATGTATATTGGATTGTTATAATCCGAAGAACAAATTTCTGTTTGTGGGCAATTTGCACTTCAGACCTATTTGGCCTTAAGTGCATAAAAACGTTGGTTGCACTTCAGACCGTTTGGCTATAAGTGCATCTCATCGCAATTTTTCACTTCAGACTTAATGGCCTTAAGTGTAGCAAAATGTTTGTAGCACTTCAGACCTTTTGGCCTTAAGTACATCTGAAGTGCAATTTTTCACTTCAGACTTATTAGCCTTAAGTGTAGCAAAACGTTTGTTACACTTCAGACCTTTTGGCTTTAAGTGCATCTGAAGTGCAAATTTTCACTTCAGACTTATTGGCCTTAAGTGAATGAAAACGTTTGTTGCACTTCAGACTTATTGGCCTTAAATGCATCTGAAGTGCAATTTTTCACTTCAGACTTATTAGCCTTAAGTGCATGAAACATTTGGTTGCACTTCAAACCTATTTGGCCTTAAGTGCATTTGAAGTACAATTTTTTTACTTCAGACTAATTTTTTTTAACTTCAGACCCGATAAGTCTGAAGTTGATCGTAAAGTGGGTACACTTGCAAACTTTTTTACAAAGTGGGTATAAGTTCAATTGTAACCCAAAAATCGGGTATAGATGCAAAAGCCCCAGTTAGCCCCAGTTCTAATGTGTATTGATCTATAAGGCATTCGTTCAAATGATGAATCTTTTCTTTCCAATTCATTCTCATGTGGTATTATATACCTTATACTTTATTTGCTCAAGCGTAGCTTATTGACGCTTTGAGAATAAATTGCGAGCTACTTGATTAAAGAACACGAAATGATCAAAATATTCTTTTCTGTCGACTTTGGATATCAATACACACACATATATATGTTGATTTTCCGGAACTTGGGCAGTATATCTTGTTATTTTGGTAGAATAATATAACTACTACTTTTTTTTAAGACGGAGAAATCCGTTTGGAGCCAACCCTCTACTTTCCTTCTTGCTTTTATAATGTAATCCCTTCATATGGCAATTTTACATCATTTCAGCATATCGCCTCTCTTGGCATTGAATTAGTTGCTTATGTGGAGTGTAGACTCAGCATCAACTAGTGAAGTGATCATAACCATATTTGTTTATCTACTATGGCTATTAGGTACAGTGCAATGCCATTAATGCAGACAATAGAGTAATAAAATTTGTTGCTTCTAAGTTCTGTGCAAAGCAAAGTTCAATTACCGAGCTAAAGTTTTTTGTTATATTTTAAACATAATAAACAGAAGAGGTTGAAACAGAAAGACACTTAAAAATGGATATAACAGGGAAAAAAGTGCTATGCCCCATCAATTTGTCTTCTTGAACTGCATATTTGAAAATATCACTCTGCCAGCAAGATCAATCAAATCGTGTATACCTTGTACTTGCTGCTTCAAAATCTACACATGAACTTGGTATTATGTTAGTCAATGTATTATTGATAGAGGCAATCTATACAGCATGAAATATACCTTAGTTGGCCCTTGAACGGCAAACTGGCTCCTTAAAGAACTTTATTCCTATATACCAACAGATCCTACAGAACAGTAGTGTTAAAACGAAGGTTTCATATATTCAAACTCTTTTGAACCTCTAATATGAAGAAGCATTTGTTCCTCTGATTAAAAAGAGTTTCTCAAAAGTACACCTATAATATCATTTATCTCACCACAAAACATGTCTCACACGCCCAATGAAGCACACGCCTCAGAAGAGACAACTCTTTTCTATCTTCTACAACGTGCTGTTCAGAGGAGGTCTAAGACATGTTCAAAACAGTGACAGAAAATATATCCATCCCTTACATTGTAGTGAGGCTAGATTGAATTGTCTTGACATGTTTTGATGTTTGATCAAGCATGGATGATTAACAAATTAGAATTTGTAAGTTATATTTTTACAGTGAGATAGTGTGTTCAAAGAATGTTGCCCCCTCTTGATCTATTGATGAAAGGGAAGAACTCTTTTTCCATCTGTAGCTCTCTTAGTTGCTCATCATCTTTTCTTTTGAGAAGGGTAACAATCTTATATATCTTTAGCGCAAAGGACTGTGCTAGTAGCCATATTTACAGATCAAAAAGAGCAAAAAGTATGTCCTTGTTCTTCTTACAAGAACCTCTATGGTGTCTAACAATGAATCCACATCATCTCTCTTAGTTGCTCATTTTCTTGTAATGACCAGTCAAGTCTCAAATACTTAAAAAATCGCAAACAAGTGAATGGAGTTAACTGGACTATTCTAGTATGGTATATTGTCAGAAACTACTCGACTGCACATACTTTTGCAGTGCTCGATGAATTTAGATCTCTTTGATATCAAACTTATCCTTGATTTTAGTTTGTCATCTTCTCGTTCCATAGGTTCAATCAACGGACACTCGAGAAGCTGCTCCAAATCCTCAATCTTTCTCTCATGGAAAAAGCTCCAACCTTCTGGCGACCCTGTGACTAGAATGAACTCTGTTTTATAAACTTTGAATTCCCTCTGATGGATATCTTTTGACTTTAAATATTTCTTAAACAATTCCCATCACTAGAAAAGCCTAAGATTTTAGCATTCTCAACTTTTCTTGAGTTACTTTAGACCGATAGGACATAGTTCAAGACAACAGATGATAGATTAAACTTTGTCCTACTTATTTCTCTTTATTCCTTGGAGGAACACTCAAAATTGATTGACTAGCAGTCACGGAGTTTAGTTGAACTTTCGTCTTCTGGTGCCTGCATTCACGTTAAGATTTGACAGATTTTTCAAGCCAAAAGCCTAGGGGATACTAGTATTGGATGACTACATTCACAACACAGAAAATTTCAAGAATCTATCATTGACCAATATCAAACAATTAACAGAAGTATATACTAAAATGATTCAGCATGTGTAAGAACCACACCCTCATTCTCCAAACTAGCAGTCTGTATATCTTTTTTCCCTTTGTTCTCTTCCTCACAAAAAAAGTTCCACAAGAGCTAGACATAGAACTGCATATCAAACACTTTAAAGACTGATTGCAGTACTCTTCCCAAAATTATAAGCAAGAAAGAAAACTGATCGAACATCAAAACTTTAACAACTCTTAGCACTCAGATTCAAGGATATAGCAGATGATAACCTCTTTTAGGTATAAGAGCAGGTAACCAACATAAGAATATACTAACAAATAAACATGTTCTGGTGTAAACGACAAATGAATGAGTTGACATGTACTCACATGAACACAGAGTCAAAAAGTTGGTCTTCTAGCCCAACCTGGAGGCTGTACCAAGGAAAAGAAAGAAAAGGACCTGCCGCGCATATAACATGAACTTCATTTATTTCCAGCTTCCCTGCCTAAAAACTTCCCTCCATCTAAAGTATTTGACAGGTAGCTTCACCGGAAAAAAAATCGTTGCTCTTATTAACAGTTTGAAGCATAATGGAAATAACAATTTAACAATGCACAATCCCACCACCACTAACCAGTGACAACTAACATTAGGTGGAGCTGAAGGATGCAATCGCGTCCATTTCCTCCCGCAAAAGGAGAGCATCAATGAAAGTATCCAAATCCTCTCCTTGCATAACATCATCTATGGAATGAGTTGTGATACCAACACGGTGATCAGTAACCCGTCCTTGAGGAAAGTTATAGGTGCGGATCCGTTCAGATCTGTCCCCACTGCCAATCTGCTCTAATCGAAGTTTTGATCTACTCGACTGAAATCTGAGTCGTTCGATTTCATATAGTTTTGCACACAATATTTTTAGTGCTTTGGCCTTGTTCATATGCTGGGATCGCTCGTCTTGTATGGAAACAGTTATCCCCGAAGGAACGTGAGTGATTCTCACAGCACTGTTTGTGGTATTCGCGTGCTGACCTCCTGATCCTCCTGACCTGTAAGTATCAATTTTCAAATCTTCATTCCTCAATTTCACATCTAACTGATCTGCCTGCGGTAGAATTGCAACGGAGACAGCACTGGTGTGAACGCGTCCACCTTTCTCTGTCACAGGCACTCGCTGAACTCTATGAATTCCACTCTCGAATTTTAGTTTCCCGTACACACCAGATCCAGATATAGATGCAATAGCTTCTTTGTATCCTTTAAGATCAGACTCAGCTATTTCTAGAACCTCGTATTTCCAACCTTTTTTCGCCGAATATTTTTCGTACATTTTGAATATGTCCATTGCAAACAAAGAAGCTTCTTCCCCTCCAGCTCCTGCCCTCACTTCGAGAATGGAGTCCCTCTCGTCAGCATCGTCTTTGGGTAGTAATGACTTTAGAAGGAGAAGCTGCAATTCTTTCTCTCCTTCTGTGGCCTCACTCAATTCCTCAGAAGCCATCTTCTGCATGTCCTTGTCATCTTGGCATTCGGAAATTACCGATTTCAGTTCCTGAATCTCCTTCTGTTTTGCTCTTAACTCGGTTATGAGATGTACTGAATCTCTGAGTTTCCTGAGTTCTTTGTTGGCAGTTGAATATTCAGAAGGTGTTAACTCTGGCTGATTTAGAAAACGCTGAAGATGAGCATTTCTGTTCTCAATCGATGATAATCTTTGTTCCATCATTTTAATTAGGTCAACAGACAATTGAGGCTGCTGCAGCTCTTCCGTAGAATACAAACGAACAAGATTGAAAACAGCTGGGATTCTTCTTCTGCCCGTCGTCGTCACTGTAGATGTAGAGAGTGCAGCAGTTGATATTTGGTCCTTCCTCTTTAGATCCAACAGTGACTTCCATGATTTTATTGATCCAAGGATGGTCAGGTTACCATTCCTCCTCAATCTCATCCTTTTATGAATCTTTTCTTTCTTTCGTTACAATTGTTGTTTCAGAACCCTCCTATTCTGCCCTCTTTTCTGACTGCTGTTCCCAACAGAGACAATAGTTTGAAATAGAGATGGGCCGAATCAATTAATAGGTCAGCCCAATCCATGTTATTAGCACTAAAGCATTTTGGGCTGAGATGCTGGTTCAAGATGAGCTAAATAAGCAAAAATAAGGGATTTTTACCTAGCTATACTATAATAGAAATCTATTTACCACCTTTATTTAGGTTCTTTATTAATTATTTGGCGTAATGGCTTCCTGGCCACTTAAACTTGTAGGGCTTTTGAAAGCCGATACATGAACTTTGAATTTTTCCATCTGAACACTCAAACTTGAAAAAATGAGTACTAATAAACACATCCACCAGAGCGTGTATACCAGTTGCGCTGACATGTACAACACATCATGCTAAGCTATTTATTACTTGCCATGTGTTATTTGTGGGTCCCATTTTTAAATACAAAATCAGAAAAAAAGAGTTACAAATACAAAAAGGGAAAAAAAAAAGCAAAAAAGCGTGAAATACCCAACCGCCCCCTTCTTCTTCCTTCACCCTCCTATCCTGTTCATATCATCTTTGTCTTGTACGTTTCTCTGCATTATTTTACAAAACATGACATCCACCATTGTCAAGCAAATTCCCTACCAAAAACTCAAACAAGAAAACAACTATTTTGATGATGAAGAAGATATCGATTTAATACACTTAAGAGCAAAATCGATAGTGGATTTAGTGGATTTTGACTGTTTTTAGGGTTTCTGATCTGGAAAATTGAGTTTGGGCAGCTTCTGATTTTCTGTTTCAGTCTTGCCTTTTTTATGCATCTTAATTCTTAGCTAATTTTTTAAGTTGCTACTCAGCTGGATTTGTTCACCACTTCTTCTTATCATTGTAACCTGTTCATGTTCTCAAATACTGTCTTTTTAAAGAAATTAGTATGATCCTGTAAAATAATTTGTTATAGAATGGAGATTGTTTCTGAAATTTGCCTGATTCCAAGCTCTAATATGATGAAATTTTCTTCTTGTCACGAATTAAAGAGCTTTTTGTGTTAGCAAATTGGTCTTTGGAGGGGAAGATAGAAGGAAAAAAAACAGAGAAAGAGGAGGGGGAAGAGAAATTAGGATGAGAAATAAAAAAATTGGGTGGAGTTTTGCTGGGAAGACGAAAGAAGTGGAAAAGTCTTTTTTCCTTTTTCCTTTTTCATTTTTATTTATATTTTATTCTAATTTTAATTTTTTTAAGTAAAAACAATTCTATTCACGCGCCTTGGCAGCGTGATTTGCACACAGTTTAGTCATATCAGCTGAAGTGCTTCCACATAGGCATGGCCAACGGTCAAAAGTGTTTATTAGTATTCGTTTTTTCAAGTTTGAGTGTTCAAATGGGAAAATTCAAAGTTCATGTATCGGCTTTCAAAAGCCCTACAAGTTTAAGTGGCCAGGAAGCCATTTCGCCTAATTACTTTGTATATCTATATTTACAAGTTATATACAAAACCTTAAAAAAGAAAAAAATTAAGATCCCTTAATTTTAGCCCATTTCCAAAAACCCTCTCCTACATTTAAGATTCTGTTTCTTTTTTCTCTCTTTCTTAATAATCACCCAAAATCTCTCTTTTATTTTTGTATCACCCAAATTTCCGATTCATTTTTCTTTTCCAAAGATTTTCAAACCCAATTTTTCTCTTTCTTAAATCTTACTATTCACCCGAACTCTCTATTTCTTATTCATACACTGTAGACGAAATTCGGAATATTCCTCTAGAATCAAGTTGTGGGTAAGTTTTGAATCTTGTTTTCTTTTTTTTCTATAATTTTTATTGTATGTGACTTGTATATGATACATCAATACCCAAAACAATACTTAATACAATACTAATACAATTATAATACGATTATATTAAATTTTTAGTGTAGAGTTGTGATTGAAACTTGAAAAAGATGAAGATCATATTTGTATCACAATTTTTCAGAATGTATCGTGATTGTATTATGATTGTATATGTATCATAGTTGTTGCAGGAATTGTATTGCAAATGTATGGTAATTCATGACGAATTTCACAGTTTGTATCACAAATATATGATAATTGTATATTAATTTATTAGCATTGTATCTGGTATTATTTTGGGTATTAATGTACCAAATACAAGTTAGATACAATTGGGATACAAGTATGATACAATTATATTTTTAGGATTGATGTATCTGATACAATTCAAATATAATTATGATACAGTTATCGAACAATTTCTGAATATTTCTTTAATTTTTAATACTATAAAGTTGTCAGCAATGGTGGGAAGAGAGGAGATGAGATTCTTGGTGTAGATTAAGGGATTTTTGATGTAAAAAAAAAGGAGAGAGAAAAGCAAAGTATATTTTTTGTAAATGATTAATATGGATCGTCGTATAGTAATATTTATCGAGGTTAAGAAAATAGGATATTATCTAAATCTACGAAGATGGATAATCAAAGTTTAATTAGATACATGTGATTATCTTTTTACTTATTTTAATTTGATGTGGTACAAGTGTGTAATGAAGCGTAGCTCATGTAATATTTATAAACAATATTTCTGGTGTATATTCCTTTCATCTATTTTGATAATTTTCTCATGACCAGGGTGGTTATTGTTTGAAAAAGACTACTTTATTAAATAAAATAATAAAATTATCCTAGTGAGATAACTGGAGCAAGTACATGTAAACTAAGAAGCAAGACTCCTAAACAAAAGATAGCAAATGTAGGAACTTAAATTTACAACACACTTACGATAAAAATTAGATGAGGTGATTGAACTCCTACAACAGGTAAAGTGATCAATATAATACCAGCAATAGATTCTACATTTGGATTAAGTGTTGCCTACAAGTATGAATGAATAACACAGTCAACAATCTGTCTTATTACCAATTTAACAGATAAATGAGGAAAAAAAACAATCTGTCTCATTTACGTTAAGGACTATGTCGTACCAGTCGAATGTTCAAAACAAAAGCACAAAAGTCTAGAATTTTCAACTAAATCTTTGTAGCTTAATAAGAAATTTTTTTAATCTAGTCCAACCATGCTTCTTAGTTAATGCATTAAAATAATTTTAATTAGTAAAAATTATCGAAGTATTACCAATAGTGTGATCGCATATTAATTCATGAAACATATTAGAAGAATGCAAAGCAAATTAACATTGGATAAAATATGTCAAGAAAAGAAGGACAATCTTCCAAAGAAAGTTTGTTCTAAAAATACACTAAACTTTGAAAGTGTGTGTAAAAAAAAATCTACCAAACTCTGTAAACAGACGATTAACTTAAACCAAAAAATAACTTCATCAAAGTAAAACATCCTCATGTATAAGATGTTGACAAGGAGGCAAGTCTCTTTAAATTAATGGCAAACGTCTCACTTGAAATGATCTATTGCTCATGTACTCACATTAGACACTAAAAAAATTTACTTAATTGTAATAAAAATTTAATATTTATTGTCTATTGATCGGTTCTTGTTTGGCTTTATTTTTGAATCGTGTATGTGCAATTTTCTTTTTCCCTTAATCATGCCATCTTCACTAAAGTTAGTACTTTATTTGACGTGTGCTATATATCAACAACATATACATGTTGATAGTAGCAAAAGAGTAAACATTCATCTGAAATAAATTCTCACAATATCTACAAGAAGAGAAAATAAAGCATCGATTGTTATTAGTACCTCGTTGGTATATAGACGCGTAGATTGCAAATAAACACAAAATGGACACCCAATAATCCTTAACATATAGCAAATTAAATATACGACTAAAATTTCCTAAACCAATGCCTTATATAGCAGCCTTCCCTAACTATTTTCGTGGTAGACATATCTTGCACCGAATAAGTGAATTCCAACTTCGGTGCGACTCTTACCAAGGTTTTGATTACTTTCATTTTGTCTGCTATGATTATTAGTTAGGAGAAATAAAATGTAATTGTTATTGAAGATATTTATGGATGGAGCTATTTACTTCTCTGATGATTGTAAATAGTAATCAATACCTCCTCCGTTTCAATTTAGATGAAGTAGTTTGACTCGGGACATAGTTTAAGAAAAAAAAAGACTTTTGAGACTTGTGGTCTTAAAAGCTTAAGGGGTAAAAACTTTGTAGGGCCATGACATTTGTGTAGTTATAAAAGCTTTCCATTAAGGGTAAAATGGTAAAATGAAGAGTTTAAAGTTGAATTGTTTCCAAATTTAGAAATATGTCATTTATTTTGGAACAGACTAAAAAGGAAAGTACCTCATCAAATTTGAAACGGAGGGAGTCATTAATGCATAAGACTAAATGCAGTTCGTGGCCTTATTCAACAATCTTTCTTGTAAGATTGCACAATATTTTGTGCCAAGATAGTACTCTCTCTACAACTATTCCTCTCCTGCAAACACCACACCAAAGGCAAAACTATTGTGCACCTTAAGCAAATCAAACTTTGTCGCATAAATGATTCTCTTTTTGCCAATTATTAAGAATCAATGAGAATAATTTTCCATTCTAACATGACCACCGCTAGATCTGAGAGAAGATAGTGAACAAAGAAAATTATATACGGAGGTTTACGATCACCTGGTAAGGACAAATAGACAAAGCAAAGTGGAACAAATGCGGAATTAACATTCAACTAAAATAAAATTCTCAAACCTGTTTGTAAAAAGACATAAAAGAGAAGGAAAACCAAAAATATTGAATCAACTGATAACCAATATATATTATATACGATCTAACACCCACATATAACACCAGGAGAAACTTTTAGTATCGATAACATGTATATGAAAATTAAACCACTGACATAAGAGTTAACAACAAAAACTTTTAGAGAAGAACTAGTTCAATGGATTTACTGTGATAGTAGTTTTATATATTTATATTATCAATATAAATAATAAGTATGAAGAGAGACTAACAAATACATGAAAAAGGAGTAAACCTTGCATAACCAGAAAGAGAACAACATAGCCGTAAAAAATAATTACCTGGCTGTTGATGAAAAAGGTTTGTAAGTGTGTTTGGTTTTTGGCCGAGAGAAACGTTAAGGGTGTAAAAGATGTTCATGAGCCGTTGCTTTTTCTTTTTTTAAGAGAACAACATAGCCCTAGAAAATAATTACCCGGCTGTTGATGAAAAAGGTTTGTAAGTGTGTTTGGTTTTTGGCCCAGAGAAACGTTAAGGGAGCAAAAGATGTTCATGAACCGTTGCTTTTTTTTTTTAAAGAAGTGTTGGCTTTTAGGTTTTTTTTAATAAGTAGATTTAATTAAGTTTTTGAGAATTTTTTTTTTGATAATTTAACTTTTAAATTAGGGGTTCTTGTTATAATTAGATTTTTGAAATGGGTAAAACAGTAATTTGACTTTTGACTTAAGGGCTTCCCACTTTTAATATAGTATAGATAGATAATTCAGTAGTCGTTGCTGGAGTTTTTTATGTCTTCACTGAGGGAGTTATTTTTATCTAGATATTTTTTCGTATCAAAAGAATGGCTAAAATGCTAATAGCTTTTTAAATACGGACTAAAATCTAATATGAGGGGTTAAAGTGGTTATTTTTCAATATTTCCCGCTAAATAATGGTCAAAATATCACGTCCCAAAATACCACTAACGGTCATGATGTCACCTAACCTCCATGACTAGGTAAGTTATAATATAACATAAATCAAATCAAATAAAATGAGTAATTTAACTAAAATAGCATAAATAGAGGAATAAATCTTCTACAATAGATAGCATAAGATACTAAAATATCAAATTCCTCCAAACCTGGTAATATGGAGGCATGAGCTCGAAAACGAAATACAAATAAAATCTCTCAATAATACAATACTATCTGAATGTATAGATAACAATATGAAAGATAGGGGAGGGGGACTCCAAGGATCTGTGAACGAACATGCAGCAGTACCTCGGATCTCCTCTGACTGCTACAAAGCTCACTCCTGAAGTCTTCTACTGCTAACGCCCGATCCTGCACAAAATGTGTAGAAGTGTAGTATGAGCACGAGACGACGTGTACTCAGTAAGTAGCAAGACTAACTTCAGTGAAGTAGTGATGAGGTTCAAGTCATGTGATGCCCACTAATCAAATAAACATGTGCATTTCATATTTATCCACAACAATTTTAACAAAAGATGCAATATCATCAAA